AGCTAAGTTTTTATACAGCCTGCTAACTAAGAATGATATTTACACTTTTTTTTAAAAAGATTTATTTATTTTTAGAGAGAGAGAGAGCGTGTGTGTGCACACGCGAGAGTGGGGAGGGGGAGAGGGTGAGAGAGAAAATCCTCCAGCAGACTCCCCGCTGAGCGCGGAGCCCCATGCAGGGCTCGATCTCACAACCCCCAGATCACAACCTGAGCCAAAATCACAAGTCGGACATTTAACCCACTGAACCACACAGGCACCCCATAGGTACACGTTTTAAATGGTTGAAGAGAAGTTAAAAGAAAACGCTGTGACGCGTGAAAATGATAATGAACTTCCAATCTCGGCATCTACAAATAAAGTTTTATTGGGATACAGCCACACCCACTGATTTACATATTGCCTGTAGCTGCTTTCCAGCAGAGGGCACTATTTGCAGAGCAGATGCACTTAATAAAGCCTCAGCTCAAAGCCCTGTGGGGTCGAGATCTTGGTTAGGAGCCCCCAGAGGAGGGTGGAGGGGCTTTTGGAGGTACAACATCTCATCTAGCTGCTGGAGGGCCCTCTGGGTGGGCATCTGTCAGCTCGGGGCAGTGCCAGGGAGTCCAGTGGGTCAGTGTCCCTAAATTCCTTCCTATTCCGTGTGGCTGGGTGACCCTGGGCTGGCCGCTTGCCCTCTCTGAGACATCCCTTCCTTGCCTCTCAAATGGGGTTTCTTGTGCTCGGCGGGAGGGATGAGTGAGGGAAGGCGGCGGATGTGTCCTGCACAGCGGCTCGCGGCTGGGGCTCCCAGGCACGTGAGCGTTTCAGGAGGTGAGGCTCTTTGTCCGTCTGGCCTTCTCACTGCCCCGGGGGGCTCAGCAGCTTTCTGGAGGCTTTTCCAAGAGCACCCTGGGACGCAGGGCCTGTGGGACAGGAACTTGGCGGGAGGAGGCCCCTGGGTGTGGTTCAGAGGGCCATAGTGTCAAACGAAGCAAACAGAACGTAGCCAGTGTCCGTGAGGATGTGGGAATCGGAGCCCTCCTGCATGGCCGGGGGAATAGAGGGGGGCAGCCGCTGGGGAGGACAGTTGGCAGCTCCTCAGAAAGTTAAACACAGAGTCACCATCTGACCCAGCCAGCGAGTCCGTGTCTGGATCTACACCCAAGAGAAGTAAAGGCCAGGGCTCCCACTGGCACCTGCCCGCCCACGTTCCCAGCAGCATCGTCCACAGCGGCCAAACTGTGGACACGACCCAAGGCCAGTGAATAAACACAGTGTGGTCCATCCACACGCTGGAACATGATCCAGCCTTAGAAAGGAAGGCACCCTGACACCTGCCAAGACTCAGAGGGACCCCGAGGACACCGCGCTCAGTGAGAGGAGCCAGACCCAGAAGGACACATCCCGCAGGAGGACCCCACTCCCAGGAGGTCCCCAGAGGAGTCCCGTCCACACAGACAGAGAGGAGAGGGTGGGAGCCGGGGCTCGGGCAGGGGGTGGGGAGTCCGTGCTTCGTGGGGACAGAGTCTCCGTGGGGGGAGATGGAACGTTCTGGAGACGGAGGGTGGGGGTGCTGCAGGACCGGGTGAGTCTCCTTCAGCTGCCTGGCTATACTAGAGGGCTTCCTGGAGGAAGCAGTGCTCTATCAAGTCCTAGAGGACAGGTGGGGGATGGGAGAGCAGCTTCCTTTGACACAGTCTGAGCAAAGGCCTCGAGCTGGGGTCAAGTGTGGGAGAGCCAGTGTCTGGGACACAGACTCCAGATGAGGCTCCTCACCCTGCCCCGTGTTGGCTCTGTGACCCTGAGCCAGTGACCTTATGTCCCTGAGGCTGTCTCCCATCTGCCTGATGGGTCAGTAGCAGTGTAGGCTATGGTCAGCAGGGAGACTGAGTGCAGCGAGTGTCAGGCACATGGCTAAGGGGGCTGCTGCTGTTGTTAGGATTGCTCGCAGGGCGATGGGGAGCGATGGTGGGTTCTTGAGCAGGGGAGGGGCAGGGAGGCTTGAATTTGAGTGGCCAGGGGAATGCCCTTCTGAAGCTGCCGGGTTCTCTCTCCCCTCCACAGACAGTGTGTTGAGGACGGATAGCCCCTCCAAGATCATCAAGCTGGACACCGTGCGCGTGATCGCGGAGAAAGTAAGCAGGGCCCTGCTGTGGGTCCTGTTTCAAGGGTGGGGAAACCAAGGCCCAGGTCTCCGACCTGTTCTTGCTCCATGCTGAGCAGCAGGGACTCCCACGGCGCCCCTCGGGGAGGTGTTGTGATGTGGGGGCTCGGGAGGCACACAGCAGCGAGGCCTGGGCTATCCCAGCCTCCCCCCCACCCCCACCCCTCCGACATGCCGGCCTGCGTTGCGAGGCTGGGGCCCACCTTGACCTTGGCCCTTCACCTGCATCTCTGATCAGCTGATCTTTCACCTGCCTCTTGACCCGTCTCCTGCTCTGTCTCTGCGGTCTGTCCCCCCCGCCCGCCCCGCACTCCCCCTCCCATCGTCTCCACTGCGGGCTGGGCCCAGAACAAGCACGCGCTCTTGGACGTGACGCCGTCAGCGGTCGAACGCCTCAACTATGTGCAGTACTACCCCATCGTGGTCTTCTGTGCCCCCGAGAGCCGCCCGGCCCTCAAGGCCCTACGCCAGTGGCTGGCGCCCGCCTCCCGCCGCAGCACCCGCCGCCTCTACACGCAAGCTCAGAAGCTACGGAAGCACAGCGAACACCTCTTCACGGGTGGGCTGGGAGCTGGGGATCCGGGGCAGGCGATGCGGCCTGGACCGAGTCTCTCCGCAGCGCTGATTCCCCCTCCCCACAGCCACGATTCCCCTGCATGGCACAAGTGACAGTTGGTACGAGGAGCTCAAGGCCATCATCCGCGAGCAGCAGACCCGGCCCATCTGGACGGCCGAGGACCAGGTACCGGGGTCAGGGCGGGGGGCGTGTCCGCGGTCAAGATTTGGCCTGAGGTCAGGGTCTTGACCTGTTTTGGGACTGAGGTCCAAGGCTGGTGTCCTGGGTCGGGGATCTGGTCTGAGATCAGGGAAGGCCTGGCTTGGTGTGTGTGTGGGGGTAGGGTCTTGGCTCAGCTTGGCCTCCCCGCCCCACAGCTGGACAACTCCTCGGAGGACAACCTGGAGCTCCCTCACCACGGCCTGGCCGACAGCTCTGCAGATCTGAGCTGTGACAGCCGGGTCAACAGCGACTACGAGACAGATGGCGAGGGCTACACAGACGGCGAGGGCGGGCCCCACACGGACGTGGATGAGGGTCCCCCGGCGCCAGCTCTGGCCCGGTCCTCGGAGCCCGTGCTCGTGGATGAGCCCCAGAGCCCACGGGATCATGGGAGAGCCTCCGGTCCCCGAGAGGCCCAGGTGAGCAGGGCACGGGGGTGGCCCTGGCAAGGGTCTTGGGATGCAGCTGAGACACACGGTGCGGGAACCTGTTTCCCCCTAGGATATCAACAAACAGAAGCTTCTCTGCTGAGATCAGTATCTCAGACCCAGACCTAGGCTATTTGAATGCATGGGTCACTGAACAACTTAAAACAAATGTTTCCACCGCTGTGTTTCCTTATGGAATAGATACATCTTGACGTCACAAGGTGGTTGTTTAAACTCAATGCGCTTACCCAAGTCCCAGCCCATACGACTTGGGTGTTTACCAAAAACAAATATTTATATAGTATTTATTCTTTGTGGGGCTGCCTCAGCCCCCACAGTGCCTTTCTATAAATTTGACAAAGGTACCCCTTCCTCCAGGCTCTTCAGTTAAATGTGAAAATGTACAAATCTATGATGTGCTCCCAGGAGTTGTGCAGTACCCGACCTGCTCAACTGTCCATGGCAGCTTGCTTATGGGGCAGGCACTCTCCTGAGCACTTTCCATATATGAACTTATTTATGAACTCCTAACAGCCCTCAGGAATTTTGCAGATGGGAAACCCAGCTCCTCCTTTGCTGACAGGCTAGGGGATCTCAGCCAAGGCCTTCCCCCCATCCCAGCATATCTTTTCACTAAAAATTAGAGACGAGTTGCAGACCTCTGTGGGGCTAGGAGAGAGCCTGTGGGCAGCACTGCCTGGGCCAAGGTGGGGAGTTGGGACAGGGGTGCTCTTCATCCCAGTTTATCTTACTTTGGGGGAAGTGCTGACCTCCTTTCCCCCCCTCCTAGGTAGACAGCCACCCCCGCCACAGTCAGTGGCGACAGGACAGCGTCCGGTAAGAGCCCCCGTACTCCAGACTGGAGCCCCTCAGACCTTTTCCTGGGACTCAGGCTCAGGGGATGAAGGGATCCAGAACCAAGCTATGTCTAAATGTGCTCCCATCCTTCTGGGCGAGATGAAAGCAGAGGGGCCAATCCCACCCCACACAGTCAGGGCCCGCTTCCTCAAAGGACTGGGAAAGCTTCCGGAAGGACAGGACATGAGATGGGGCTTTGAAGGATGTGTAGGAGTTTGTTAATGAGGCCTGACCCCTAAACGAGCAGTCCTGCTCATCTCTGTCCACACCCACTGTGCCTAGCAGAGTCAGCCTCAGGTAAGGGTAGTTCAAGCCTCCCCACTGCCCACAGCCGCTCCTCTGTTTCCTGATCCCCAGAACCTACGGGCGGGAGGCCCTGAAGAAGAAGTTCACACGAGCTCGAGATATGGAGTCCTCTGACGAGGACGGCTATGACTGGGGTCCAGCTACTGACCTGTGACCCCTCCCAGGTGGCCGGCTGACCCATATTCCTTTCTCTCCACCGGCGCTGGGACTCGATTTCCCATTCAGAACCTAGAACCCCGCTTCCTTCTGCCAGTCTTTAATAAATAGAGTATTTTCACAACACTGGCTTCTGGAGATTTCTGGGAAGGACACGGAGTAAGGGTCAGTCCTACCTTTCCTCTCTCAACCCCACAGACCTCGATCCAAGAATTTTGCCCATTTTTTTTAAGCATTTAATGTTTTACATCAGAAAATAACACGGCGCCAAGAAGCCTTGGAGGCCCCGCAGACGGGCTCGCAGGGCTACTGGGGCTAAGGCACAGCAGAGGGAGGGAGGGGGGCGCTGGTGGCTGGTCACAGGTACACGGGCTGCTCCTGGCCGGTGAGCAGGCGGTAGGTGGCGGCCGGCATCATTTTGATGTGGACCTGGGGGGCCAGAGAGAAGGCCAGCGGTTCAGGGTGGGCCTGCACTGGCCGGAGGGCCCCCCCTGGACCCGCCCGCTGCCCACACACCTCCGTGTGGGCCTCGGTGAGCAGCTCGATGATGCGGGCGTGCGGCGTGGCCACCACACTGTGCCCGTTGATCTCGATGATGCGGTGCCCCACACGCACGCCCCCGCGCTCTGCGATTCCACCCCGGAGGAGACTGCAGATCTGCAGGGGACAGGGAGGGGCCGCGGCTGCTCAGGCAGCCGCGCTCGGGGCCCCCAGTCCCCCCCCCCCACCTCCCCTGTCCTGGGGCTGGGGTCTCACGATGCCGTCCTCCACGCAGAAGCCCAGCTGTTCACGGGTGTGGGGCCGGCGGATGATGGCTGTGGTGACCGGCGGGCAGTGGATGATGCTGAGGGTCACCAAGGTCTGTGACTTCACCTCCTGTGCAGGACATGGGCTGTTGGCCTAGCGGGGCCTCTCGGTACACTGCAGCCCCCTGGGGCCTCAGTTTACCCACTCATGAAATGGAGCTTCAGAGTCAAGGCTCTTGATTCTAGAAGACCCCTTGAGAAGCAGTTAAGAACACAGACTCAAGCTGGGCGGCCTCAGGTCTGAGCGGTGACCTCTCCCGTCCCTATCTGTGGCCTCAGTTTCCCTGTCGAGAGCACATTTCTAGCAGCGTCTGCCACGCTCAAACATAACATGCTGCGTGGACCGCGTCGGGCTTGCCCTTCTGACCTGGCCAGGTCCTTCCCCGCTCTGGGCCTCAGTTTCCCCAGCCGGCAACAAGGGTCAAGACTCAAGAACACACTGGCTGCCTCGGGGCAGAGAGGAAGGCTCCCGACCCTGCAGCTAGACCGCCTGGGTTCGAATCCTGCCTTCACCCCACCAAGGCCCCCCCGGACCAGCAGCGTCCCCTCTCCAAGGCTCTGTCTCCTTGAATACACCAGCGCGGGTAGGACTTCATGTTCTACCTTGCCCCTTCTGGACCGCGCCAGGGAAGGGCACCCGGCCACCCTGCAGGGGACTCACGCGGACGGCGGCCTGGCAGGCAGCCAGGGACAGCCCCACCAGGCTGGTCCCATTGATGGCAGTGAGGCGGTCCCCGATGCTGAGGGCCCCCGAGCGCTCGGCGGGACCCCCATGCAGCAGGTTGGCGATGACAGCCGTGGGCAGCAGGGAGCCCCAGCCCGACTCCACCAGGGCCACGCCCAGGCCCTCGCCCCGGCGCTTCTCGATGCACACCTGGGAGGGGGACACGAGGTGGGAGGCATGAGGGCTGCTCTGTTGGGGGGGCTGGCGGGGGCCCACCGGCCTGCTTGCTCACCTCCCTGCAGTTCTCGCTGTTGGAGAAATGGTCGAGGTCCCCATTGTGGAGGTGGCCGGGGCCCGCGGCGCCCTGGCTCTGCTGGGCACCCACCTGGTTGGGGTCGACGCCGCTTTCCCGAAGGAACTGGCTGTAGGCCACGGTGAAGGCCTGGCCGATGGCCTGAGCGATGAGCTGGGCCTGCAGGCCGATGGGCAGCATCTCTCGGGGGGGGTGTCCCACCCACCTCCTTCAGGCCCCCCAAACCCTCTGGCGTCCTCAGAGCCGAGCCCTCCCACCCCCACAGGGGGGCAGGATTCCCAGGAGACAGCACGATGCCCTGTGGCTTCGGGGACTGTGGAAACCAGCCCCTGTCTTGGGGAATCTATGGGGGGGCGAGGGGAGGGGAGGGAGACAGGCCCGGAGGGGGGAGGTTCAGGGGTCGGCTGCCAGTCTCCAAGGCTTACGGGAAGGACCAGGGGCTTCGGGGGTGGGGAGGGGGACAGCGGCCCGCGCCGAGGACCAGTGGAAGGATGCTGCAGTGACAGTGTGGCCAGGCAGGCTCTGGAAGAGGGTGGGGCCGGCCCAGGTCCCCCTCTCCCCCAGGACACCCAGAGCAGGGCTGCTCACGTCCTCAGAGTGGAAGACGTGGCACAGTATCTTGTAGAGCCTATGGCTGTGGGCCTGGGATGCCGGCCGCCGGGCCAGCCGCCGCCGGGCCATGAGCACCAGCACACTGCCGATGTCAGCAATGTAGGAGATGGTCTGCAGGGCGTGGTCCATCATGGCCTCCTGGAGTGGGGGGCGGAGGGGAGACCAGGCCTGGGCGGGCTGTGCGGGCGCTCGGCGGGGCCCCCACACCCCAGAGGCCGGGCCTGGCTCCGTACCTGGGAGTCGGCCGTCAGAACTTTGACCCTCTTGGTGGACACAAAGAGGTCCACTTCCGTCATGGGCTGGGTCTCCCCGTCAGGGGCCTGTGGGGGTGGGTGGGAGGTGGAGGACCGTGAAGACCCAGCCTCTGCCGCGCTGGGCTCCAGGGGCCTTGGAGGACCTGGCCGGCAGCCCACCCGCCCACCCGCCCACTGGCCGCAGGGAACCCCAGCTGCCCAGCCCTGGCTTCACCTTGACACGGTCCATTGCCTCCCGGGCCTGGGCCATGCGTGTGCTGGGAGGCGGGTTCCGCTCGGACACCAGCTGGGTGGAGCCCAAGTATTTGGCCCCAAATATGACACCGTCTAGGAGGTCTTCATGGTCACAGGGACCAGGTACTAAAGGCAACAGTGGAGGAGGGTCAGCCCCTGTGAGCCCTGAGCCACGCACGTCCAACCCCACGGGCTCTGCCCTGGGTCTTGGCTCCCTCAGTGGTCTGGAAGCACAGTGTTCTACCCCATGGCTTAGCACTCTTGAGCCACACACATCCGCCCACTGTTCCAGAACCATCCCATTAGCAGGAGCCACAGACATCCAGAGCCTCATGTCGGTCTAGAGCCAGCTGGACTCTGTCCATGGCTCACGGACGCCAGGGCAGAGGACCCAGTTTCAGGAGCCCTCTGAGAGTCTAGAACCACAGCAGGATCCAAAAACCGCTCTAGCCCTCAGGTACCTCCACCTTGTGTTTCTAGAATTCTGTCATCAGGCTAGAACCAGGCAGTCCCTTTTCTAAAACCAGCAACATTACAAAACCAGTCACTTGTATTCAGTGGTTCTGGAATGCCCCGAATCAATCTGAAGCCATTTAGCTTTGCCCACTGTTCTAGATTTCTCCCTTGTCAGCCCAGGACCGGAGACAATTCTACTCCATAGTTGTAGAACTGCCCAGAGGAGGAAGAGACAACGTCCCACATGTCTAAAAACTCTCACACCGTCCAGAACCCCAGATGGCTTCCATTTGTGGTTCTAGAGCTCCCTGACAGCTCTCAAACCACAGAATTCTGCAGGGGTTCTAGAAATCAGCACCCCTCCAGAACCACATTTTCCCACTCTGTGATTCTGTAACTTCTTAATCATGATGGCATTGGCTAGCTCTTTCTATGGTTCTAGAACATCCTCAAATAGTCGGGACAGCTCAGCGGTCCCCCGTGAGTCCAAGAGTGAGCTGAGTAGTCCAGAAATGAACAACTCTGTACATAATTCTAGAATTCCACCAACCTAGCCCAGAACCACACAAAAACTCTGCTGTCGAGCTCCGTAATTCCCTGAGCAATCTAGAACCAGCCAGTTCTCCCAGTTCTGGAATGTCTTAACAAGGAGTGGTTGTTTTTTGGGGTTAGAACTGCAGGTGCAGGCCCCAGCTCTGGACGACTCGAAGTGAATTTAAACTACAGCCCGTTCTGCCCATTATCTTTCCTGATCTAAGATTCTGGAACAACAGAACTCCACTCTGGGGTTCTAGAACTGCACCATCCAATATGCTAGCAGCCAGGCACGTGTGGGGATTGGGCACCTGAAATGTGGCACCTGAAAATGCACCCTGGATTTTAAAAATTTAGTATGAAAAAAAAGTAAAATAATTATAAGATATTAATTATACATGGAAACACCTTAAATAGATTGAGTTAATTAAAATGTTATTACTTTTTCCTGTTTTTTTTTTTAAGTTTTTGTTTTTTAAGTAATCTCTACACCCAAAATGGGGCTCAAAATCACGACCCCGAGATCAAGAGTCGCACGTCCTCTGACCGAGCCAGTCAGGCCGCCCCTATGTTTACTTTTTTAAAGCCGATAACTAGGAAATTAAAAGTTACACACAGGGGTGCCTGGCTGGTTCAGTTGTTTGAACATCTGACTCCTGATTTCGGCTCAGGTCATGATCTCAGGGTCGTGGGATCGAGCCCTGTGTCAAGCTCTGCACTCAGCAGGGAGACTGCTTAGGATTTTCTTTTTTTCTTTTTTAAGATTTTATTTGTGTATTTGAGAGAGAGAGTGAGCACAAGCAGGGGGAGCAACAGAGGGGGAGGGAGAAGCAGGGAGCCCAACGTGGGGCTCGATCCCAGGACCCTGAGATCATCACCTGAGCCAAGGGCAGATGCTTAACAGACCGAGCCACCCAGGTGCCCTGCTTGGGATTTTTCTCTCTCCCTCTCCCTCTGCCCCTCCCCCTGCTAGCATGCACACACTCTCTGTCTTTCAAAATAAATAAAATCTTTTTTAAAAAAAGTTACACATCACTCACATTATGATTCTATTGTATAGCACGACTCTAGAACTTTCTGATTACTCTGGAATCAGACCGCCCTGTCCACAGTGCTAGAACACCCCGAGCTAGAATGTTAGATACGCTCTATTCACCCCATGATTAAGAAACCCCCCAGTCTGGACAGCTCTGTTCACCATTCTAGAACACTATCAGCCCAGGTTCTTTTAATCTAGAACCAAGGCCAAATGCTGGAACTCCCAAGGTGAGTCATGGCTCCACCCATGATTCCAGCACCTTCTTGGAACTATAAGTCCAAACCAGCTTCACCTTCCCACAACCATAAAACTTGCTCTTTGACTTACAGCCTCAGGTAGTTGGGGGGGTTAATCCTAGAACATTCTAGGTGCCCAGAACTGGTTCCTTCCATGCTTTCAGGGCAGAAATTGAGAAACTTTTTTTTTTTTTTTTAAAGCAGGCTCCACACCCAGCCTGGAGCCCAATGTGGGGCTTGAACTCAGCCCCGAGGTCAAGACCTGAGCTGAGCTCAAGAGTTGGACACTTAAGTGACTGAGCCATCCAGGCAACCCAAGATTGACAAACTTTTTATGCAGGGGCCCAACAGTAACTACGTTTGTCTTTGTGGGCCAGATGGTCTGCGCTGCAACTATTCAACCTGGCCATTGTAACATGAAAACCACAGTAGACAATACGTAAATGAATGGGCATGACGGTGTCTCAATAAAAGTTTATTTGTGGACACTGAAATTTGAGTTGCACATTGTTTTCATGCATCAAGAAATACTATTCTGTTTTTTTCCAACCACGTAAAAACATAAAACCCACTGGTGGCTCACAAGACATGCCAGAACAGGCGGGTTGGATTTGATTGCAGATGGTAATTTGCCAGGCCCTGCTCTAGAACCATGCTACAAATGCCACACATGCCCTTCCATCCCCTATTCATTCCAGAACATTCTCACCACTCTCTCTCCCCTCCCAGACCATCTGGAATCTACTCAACCAACCTCGGAGCCTCTCTAGAAACAACTCCTTCCTGGCAAACTTTGTGCCATTTTGGGAGGAGCCTGATTGGGGCGATTCTGAAATTGCTAAGTCCCTGGGGCCAGGGTGGGCAGGACACTCACCCTCCTGGAGGGCAGGGTATGTCACCAGGGTCTTGGGGTTCTGGAAGAAGACAGAAGAGGGGCAGGACTGAGTCCCCTGGCTTGGTTCCTGGCAGCAGAGGCGGCCTGGGGGGCGGGACAGGCTCTACCTGGGTATTGGCAGGCGGTTCTTCAGGAGCAACCAGAGGTACCGTCTCCAGCCACGGTTCCGGGGAGCTGCTTGAGCTCCTGCTGCCGCCATGCTCGGCAGAAGCTCCCTCCACCCATTCCGGGGCACTGGTATCTCCGTCTGGGTCCTCAGGGGGCTGCAGCGGGCGAGGGGCAGGGTCCGGAGGCTCCTTGGGACAAGACTGGGAAGGAGGGCATTCCTGGCAGTGCAAAAGGCTCAGCAGGTCGTCTCGGCCGGCCTCGGCAGACAAGAGCCCATGGGCATCAGCAACGTCCTGGGAGGCCAGGCCGTGGCCCGTGGCCACGTGCAAGGGGCAGGGAGGTCCATCCGGGCACAAGCCCACCAGATCACCAGGCAGAGCCTCAAACTGTTGCGCCAGGTCCTCAATACTTGGCCCATCGAGTTCCATCTGACTCAGGCTGCCGGAGCGTCCCGGCACCCGGTCCCACTGGCAGTTGGGGGTGAGGTCCTGGGAGGGTGAAATTGTGTCCCTGGGCTCCTCCAAGTCCATTGCTGGAGGGCCTGAGGGAGATTGGGAAGTTGTCAGGAATTCCATGCCTGGACCCCAGGCTCAGGCCAACATCTGAAAGAGAGATTCAAAGATAAGATCTCCTGAGTGCCAACGTGGTGCCAAGCTCTAGGTGGGTGCTGTTCATGTAGAACACAGAATTTAATCCCCACCATACCCTGCAAGGAAGGGTCTGCTATGATCTCCAATTTATAGCAGAGGAAATCCAGATGCAGAATAGGCAGTTGTAAGACAGTGGCTTCATAGGCTCCGAACCCCGGAGTACTCCCCTGTACCTGTCAGCCCAGGCCTCTCCCCACCCGTGGACCCTGCTCCTCCAGACTTGGTTCTTCCAAGTCTCCCCCCACCGCGACGTGTAACCCAGGCTGGAGACACACTGCCTGGCTATACAGACCCGGTAGATGCAGGTCCCCGAGACCTCGGACTCAGGACCTCAGCCTAAGACTAGATCCAGGACCCCAGACTTAATACTAGAGATCCCAGACGCCAGAAAGCAGAGCCTACTCTCAAAACTTCCAATGCCACGCTCAAGATCAACCCCGGACTCTGACCCGGGCCTCAGAACCCAGCCGGAAGACGTAACTTCACCTAAAGCTACGAGTTAAGACCCCGGTCCTCTCACAGACCCCAGCCTCAAGACTTCAGACCCCCTTCTTCAGCCGCCAGCTCCAGACCCCGCTCTGCCCCCGCCGGGACACTCACTTTCCAAACCGGGGTGGCCTCAGACCGCGAGACCCCCCAGAACCCCACGCCCCGAGCCGGACAGTCCTCCACTGGCCGCGGCTCGCCGATTCCCGGCAGCGGCGCCGGCAGGTCTGTCGGCGCAGCGCTCGGACCCACTGGGCTTGCGCACGTTTGCGGGACCTGCTGGGAAATGTAGTTCTCCCAGCTAGCCTCGCCGCGCGGGAGCGCTGGGGGCCTGAATCAAGGGTTCGAATCCCGGGCCTCAGTTTACACAGAGTGGGAGTCCCGGCGGGCCTCTGGACCTGTTTCCTCAATTACAAATTGGGGTTAGTGATCACAGCCTGCCATCTACGGCTGTGGGCATGATTCCAATGGATGGCAGATGGGAAGAAATGGGACTGGGAAATATTAAAGTGAGTCAACTCGAGAGACACCGGAAGCAGCGCAGGGACCCTATTGTAGACGGACTTCCGGTTTCGCTCACAGTAGGGGGCGGAATGGCAAGTCCTGGCCTAACTTTCCATCCCTGAGCTTCGCTTCCGCAATTAAACTGGGGATAATAATAGTACCTACCTCCTACTTGTGAGGACTAAATGAGATCGAGCTGGCTACGGATTTAGCAAAAGGGCTGGGAAATAATGAGTCTATTAGGTATTACCTAATTACTTTTAGGCTTTCATTAATTGCTCATTGAATAGAATCAGGAAGGCATAAGGCGTGATCTTAAAATAAGTGATACCTGAAGAAGGGCAATAAGTAAATGAAATATCTTTAAAGTCCCCTCTTAACAGTAACAGGATATCTATAAAATTTTGAAGGTGGGCGCCTGGGTGGCTCAGTTGGTTAAGCGACTGCCTTCGGCTCAGGTCATGGTCCTGGAGTCCCGGGATCGCGTCCCACATCGGGCTTCCTGCTCCGCGGGGGTCTGCTTCTCCCTCTGACCCTCCCCTCTCTCTTGTTCTCTCTCTCAAATAAATAAATAAAAATCTTAAAAAAGAAAAACATTTTTAAGAAGATACCCTGAACGCCTAAGACTGGAATACATTTCCCAGAAATCTCTAGGAGCCTACAACTCCCAAGCACCCCTGGGCCGCTGTCGTCTCCCGGAAAAGGGCACGTGCCGGCAGTCCGCATACGTCATGGCGGCCAGACGTCTCTTTGGGACTACGTGGACCTGGACCGGCTGGCGGGCCCGGGAGCTCCCGGTCCCTGCCGAGCCTGGAAGACTCCTGGTGCGGGGTTATGCCAAGAGACCGGGTGAGCTGGCTTAAGAGGGACCCAGAGGGGAGAGGTTTGGGACATTGGGGAGTTAGTAGTGCGCAGGCGCTGGCTTGGGGAGGCGCTTCCTAGAATCAGTGCGCAAGCGCAAAGAGGCAGGCGCTGAGCTCTACGCGCAGGCGCAGTTTGAGGTACCTGGGTTGTGCTTGGACTCACTGCGCCAGGTGCGGGGTGTTTTTCTTGCGGGGGGGAGGGGCAAATCGCCACCAGAACTGTGAGGACGCAGTGGGGCCCATCTGAGTATTAGCCACTGAAACAAAGGCAAAATCACCGGGGTATAGCCTGGCCTGACCTCCTTTGTTGGAAGGAGGGAGTTGACAAAATGTTGGGCCTTCAAGACGCAATACCAGCTCTTTTTCCGTGAGATAAACAGAATTGGAAAGCAGTGGCCTGGTCACTGTAAGCGTCAGTGTTTAATGCAGTATCCACGTCCTACTTAAAGTCGTCTTGGGTGCAGCAGACTGTCTAGTCAGGGGCCGGGGGGGCGACCAGGAGAAAGGGGTCAGAAGGGAAGGCCAGCCTCCCGAGGACGCAGCTGGCAGAAATGACTCTCTCCCACCCCCCAGTCATGAAGGGGGGCAAAGGCGGCAAAGGTGGAGTGGCCAGTGAGGCCCTAAAGGACCCAGACGTGTGCACAGACCCCGTCCGACTCACCACACATGCCATGGGCGTCAACATCTACAAGGAGGGCCAGGACGTGGTCCTGAAACCAGACGCGGAGTACCCCGAGTGGTGAGTGAGCCAGGCTGGAGGGCCCCGAGAGCACATGCCAGGGCAAGGTCTCAGATCTGAGGTTTCCATAGGGCCTCCCTGGGGAGGGGAGGCGTGACTCAAGACCTGAGTGGGTGGAAGGAGCTTTAAAGGTAGAGGGAAGAGTCTGTACAAAGGCCCTGGGGCAGGACTTTACCTGGTTTGTTAGCAGAACAGCAGGAAGTGAAGGTGGAGAACAGAGGGAGATGGGACAGGGAGGTGACGGATTTCGGCCTTTGCAGGGCCAGGGGGGATACAGGGAAGATTTTGCTCTTGGCCCCAGGACCAGTAGCAGGTCATTGAAGCCATTGACCTGTGCTGATCCTTAAAGCTTAGGAAAGCTTCCGAAAGGTTGAATGGGTGGGTGGGGAGGTGTTCCCGGCAGATGGCACAGACAATGGCCAGGAGGCAGCACAAGACTTGGTGTGTGCCCACCTCCAGTTCCAGCGCCACTGGGATGGGGCAGCTTTTCCACAGCCAGGAACCCAGCTCGGGGTGGGAGGGTGCGCCCCGGGATCATGCCACCACCATGTGGCTGGGGGGCCCAGCCTACTGCTGCCTCTGCCCACGGTTCCTGAGGTGGGGGACCTCTGGGGGTCTGCCCTGCCTCCCTGACTCCTGCCCACGCCGCGGCAGGCTGTTCCAGATGAACGTGGGCCCCCCCAAGAAGCTAGAAGAGCTGGACCCCGAGACCCGGGAGTACTGGCGGCTGCTGCGAAAACACAACATCTGGCGTCACAACCGTCTGAGCAAGAACCAGAAGTTCTAGCGGGGAGGGGCCGGCCGCCTGGAGCCACCAGGGACCCCACCAGGCCCCGAAGGAGGACCCCCGCGGCACAGCACATCTTCTCCACCCAGCCCCCATGGAAGACTATTTTCCTGGAGAAAACAGGGTTTTCTGAGAACCGAGGAGACCCCTGACCTGGTGCCTGTTTGGTCCCCACGGCGAGGCTGGATCAGGGCCCTGGGGGACCGTCCCTGGCAGGCCCTGGCTGCTGTCTGGGGCTGGCAGGCAGGCGGGGGTGTGCGTCAGGCCCATGGCTCCAGGGGGAGGTTTTTCTAGACACGCCATCTCAGTCACAAGGGACTCAAACCCGTTCCAAACTACCCGAACATGAGAGAGAGACTGAAGCGTCCAGGGCGGGCTCTGCCTTCAGGCGCGCTGGACTCGGGCTTCGGTATCCAGGTGATGGCTCTCTCTGGCTCTGGGTCCTTGTAGCTCCAGTGGGTAGTTCTCCTGGAAAGGGGTGGCCCCAGGACTCCTGGCTGACGCCCCCTACCCAGTTCAGCAAGCCCAGCCAGAGGGAAGGGACTTCCTTTTTCTTCCTACCAAGGTCGTGTGTTCTCTGCATTGGCCAGTTGGGCCCGGGGACCTAGGCCTATCCACCGTCCACCTGTCACCCCACTAGTGCCCAGGGCTCAACCTCCCCCCCGCCCACCCCACCAGGAAATGCATCCGGGAGTCTTGCATTTGGCACCAGGAACCTGGCCCACAGCCTGAGTGAGAATCAGCTCCTAGCAGTCCTAGCTTCTGCCCTGCCTGGCTGGGGGAAGGGTCCCGGGGCCCTGGGCTGAGGCCTGGGAGGGTCTGCGGTTGCAGGGGGTGGAGTGGTGGGATGCGGGCACCACCTGGGGGGCTGGACCAGGGGCCCTCCAGGCTCCTCTGTGCTGTCTGGTCCAGCAGCGTGGGCGGGGCTGGGGACTAATTCTGCCTCGTCCCAGGGAACCGAGAGCCCTCATCCTCTTAGGAGGACTCTGCCAAGCGGATTACCTGCCCTCCCTGGTGGCCCGCCCAGAGCAGGTCCCAACCCTCCCATGGATCCCCGTGGCTCTCAGGGTAGACACAGAGTTGTCATGGCCAGAAGGCCTGGCCAGACCTGCCTCCTGTCACCTCCCTGTTGGCACCTCGCTCACTCCACTTCAGCCCCAGGGGCCACCTGGTGGTTCCTCCCACACACCAGGCTGGTCCCTGCCTCGGGGCCTTTGAACATGCCATTCCCTCTGCATGGGTGGCTCTTCCCCAAGGTGTTCCCATGGCTCGCTCTTTTACCTCCTCCAGTTCTCTGATGTCACCTCCAGGAGGCCCCTGAGCACCCTGTTAAACTGTAATCCTGCCACACACTCAGGATTGCTGCTTGTTTTATTTTCTCTCAGCACTTAAAACGAGCTGGTGTTTTGTGTACGTATGTATTTATTTAATCGTGCTTCTTGTCTGCCTCCCACTGGAGTGGCGGCTCCATCAGGGCAGGGATTTTTGTCTGTTCACCATCACATCCGCATTACATGATGGATGGATGGATGACGGGTGGGTGAGTGGGTAGATGGATGGTGCGTGGGTGGGTGGGCAGGCGATTGACCCAGCTGCCACAAGGTAAAGAAGACACGGCCATGGGACTCACGTATGAGATGCCAAGTGAACCGAGAAGAGCAGACCAGCTTGAACCCCAGTGGTGTGCACCGGTGTGAGGAGCCAGAAGTGAGCCTATGGTCACTTCATGGACAGAGCTCAAAGGCAGGGTGCTGGTCACTTGCAACTTCTGCCCTTGAGCCCCCCCCCCCCCGTCCTGACCCAGGCTGCCCTGTCCTACGGGGACGTCCCCTGTCGTGCTGACACTAGGCCCGCCCCAAGCCTGGTCACACCCTGTTCTTGCCCCGGATGGCCTCGTCCTCGAGTCCAGCTGAGTTCTGGGAAGGGTGGTCATCAAGAGATAAAGCGATTGGGCCCAGGACAGGCACACGGGAGCACGCAGTGAAGGGATTTCTCTGAGAGCTGGGGCTCGGCTGTGAAGGACGAGGCGCAGGCGGGGGACCTGGGCGCAGTCAGAGTGGCTTGTGATGGCAGCCTTACTGTTCCAGAGCCTCACCGTCCGCCCCACGCCCGTCTGGCAGATGGGCCACCTCCTTCCTGAGACAGTGCCGGTCTCCTTGCAGGGCAGGCTGAGGAGGTGGTTGAGGGGACCAACGTGGGTGGCCCCGGACAGGCCGAGATGAGAGGGCTAGCTGGGCTCCAGACTCAGGCCGGTGGCCAGGCCCTGTCCAGAGCCTGCGCGTGCTCCTTGGCCAGCAGCCGCAGGGATGCCTCCTCCAGGGTGAAGCCCTCCGTGAAGGCCGGACCAAAGGCATGGGGCCCGAAGGATGCCTGCAGCCCGGGCCCCGGCCCCAGGAGGCGCGGGAGGCCTGGCACAGCCGGGGGCCCGGGGCCCAGCCAGGGCTCCAGGGGCAGTGGCATGGCTGGCGGGCGGGCAAACGGCAGTGCCGGGGCCTCGGGGAGCCTTGGGGCGGCCACAGTCCCGGAGCCTGACTCCAGACGCTCCTGGCGGCGCCACTTGGCCCGGCGGTTCTGGAACCACACCTGGAGGTAGTGAGAGGGGTGCTCCCGGTTCAGGGCCCGTGGGGAGGAGCCAGCCCACTCTTCCCCACCCCACTGTGTCCTTTGGGGCTCCCAGCTTTGCAGGGTTCTGCCTGCTGTCCGGCCTGACTCCCACCTGCTGCAGTGCCAACATAGTGTTATCTGCCTCGAGCGAAGGATTGCTCTCAGGGCCCCCATCAGGTCAGCCCCAAGTCTCCCGAAGCTAAGCTCTCCTCACCACTCCGCCCAGCCTCTCAGGCTCCGCGGCCTCTCTTGGCCCTGGGCACCGGGTCCGAGCCACTCGGAGATCTTTCTCAGCCGCGCTCTGCCTCCCCGTCCGCCCGCTTGGCACCGGCTGGAAACGCCTCCAGTGTAACCCCTCCACTGCTCAGCGCACACTCCTGGATGCTTAGAGATCACCTGTTCTCCTTTCTTTCCCTTTTTTTCTCTCTCTTTTTAAGATTTTCTTTTTAAGTAATCTCTACACCCAACGTGGGGCTCGAACTCACAACCTTGAGGTCAAGAGTCGCACGCTCTACCAGCCGAGCCAGCCGGACGCCTCCACCCGTTCTGCTTTCTAACTGGAAAACTTTTACTCAAACGCCAAGGTCCCAGTCCCACGTCCCCTCCTCTGGGAAGCCTTCCCAGCTTTGGAGATCTGCTGCCCACACACCGGGAGGGTCCCGATCCGGCTCTGGCTCCCTCCCTGGGCTGTGGGGCGCCCTCACCTGCACGCGCACCTCAGGCAGGTGCACCTTGGCCGCCAGCTCCTCGCGGCTGTAAACGTCTGGGTAGTGGGAGGCCTCGAACGCCCTCTCCAGCTGGTGCAGCTGGTACGTGGTGAAGGTCGTGCGGTTCCTCCGGTGCTTCTTCTTGGGGGCTTCCTCGCCCGGGCCCGGCCCCCCACCCTCTGCTGCCGGCCCCTCGCCGGGGCTCAGGAACATGGCTTCTCCGCACCCCCACCTGGCCGGGCAGCAGCAGGACAGAAGGCGGTGAGACAGCATCTGGGACTGCCCGCTGGGGAGGGCAGGGGAGCCCCCAGCCTCTGCCGGGCCTGGGGTGAGATGCGCCGGGCAGACGCGCTGGGGCCTGCATTCGTTCGGCCTCCCCGCCTCCCGGTCCACCGAGGGATGCTCTCGCTCTCCGTGCGTCTCTTCTCTCTGTGTGTCTGTCCCTCCGCCTCTCTTCCCACTTTCCCGCTCGAGCTCTCCCTGACGGCCTCCATCGACCTGCAGCTCAGCTTTGGGCTGTCTGTCCGTCCATCTCTCTGTGTGCCTGGGACCCCCAGGAAGGCAGGAGGCTGGGACACTGCCCCCATGGTCCTCCTGCCCGCCATCCTGGGGGGCTCTCTGCACCCCCAACTCCCACCGGGGCCCACCCGTGCCCACCTGCCCAGTACTCACCGCCCCCAGCAGCCCCTCGACAGCCCCAGTATCCACGCAGCTCTGGCCCCGGCGGGCCTAGCACCCCGTCTGCTGCTGGCCTGGCCCTGCCCGAACCAAGCGGGGAGCGGGTTGGGGTCTGGTGAGGTGAAGATTAGAGCGAGGTGATTAATTGAGGTGGCCCCTCCCGCCCGGGCGCTGGCTGCAGAGGGCGGGCATGGGGGACGACGGCTGGGGCTCCAGAGGGGTGTGACCATCGGCCTGGGTCCACCTCCCCTCGCAAGAGGACACCAACAAGGGCCTCCCCCTCTCTGGGCCTCAGTTTCCCTAGCTGTAGAAGGGTGACGCCAGGACCTACCTGATGGGGCTCTCATGGGGCAAGGAGGAGATGAAAGTAGAGCATTGCACAGTGACTGGCATACAGTAGGTGCTCAACGAATGTCCACTGCTACTGTTTTTATCAGCTGGGGCTAGAAAAAGTTCCTCTTAGACACACAGGTGGTGACAGGGGTGGGGGAAGCCGAGGTCCTGACAGGTGAAGGCAGTTCCAGTCCCCTCCCCCAGACACTGAGCTGACCAGGGAGTAGGGGGCATTTTCGCTGGGTTTTGAGGAATGGATAGAAGTTCACTCTTCATTCATTCAATGAACGCTATTGAGCACTTACTGTATACCAGGTACTGTTCACAGAGGTGAACAAAACAGACACAAATCTTGGAGCTGACATGCTAGTAGGGGAGATAGACAATCAGCAGATAAGACATAGAGGGTGTCAGATGGTCATAAGGCTAATGAGAAAACTCAAGCGGGGGGGCGAGGGGGACAGAGGGTGGGTTGCTCTTTTAGAGAAAGTTTTCAGAATGGGGGATGGAGTGCAAGGCTAAGATTCTGGACACAACTATGTATGAAGGGGAGGGTACTCGGGAATCATGGGAGGTTGTGGAGCAGGGGAGGGACAGAGTCAGATGGCATTTTGGAGGAATATCTATTGTGGACAAGATGGGAGGCCGGGAGGAGGCTAGAGCCCTGATCAGGGCAAG